CACCAAACTATCAGTTCAGGGTACATTCGTGCTCGTTCAAATACAATACACTTAGCCTTTTGCACATTAGAAGTAAGCACCAGCGATCATAGCATGGAAAGTTCTTCTCCATTGCCCACTTTGCTCTCACGATGTCAGCACTTCTACTGCTTGCTGATGTTTAAAAATGATTCTATTGATATTCGGAATAATCCTTTGGAGTACATTTCATATATATTCTCAATATAATTGTTAAGGCGGCGTTTCACTAAAGGTCAAGTATAAGGTGTTTTCTCATCCTTCGAGACTATCTTGAATGTCTGTTTCACTAGCCTCGGCATTACTAACCAGGTTCTACAGGAATTTTTATTAGGGCTGGTTTCTTTTTTTAGAAACCACTGAATCTTGGAGGGTTTTTTGTTATGATTTATTTCAACCTGCAGAATTTTTGAAAACTCCCTTAATTCTTCATGATATTTGTCCTGGACTTTGTGTTTTATGTAGTATCATGCTGTAACAAACTGTAAGACTTCCTCGCTTATATCGCATATGCTATAAAAATATTGGAGCAATCCTCCTAGGCCAGATACACAAGAAATTCCTTAAAAACACCGGGAAAAACAACACCGTAAGATCTACTGTCACCAAATCAGATCATCCAATTCGCAAACCAAGTCAACGATGTCACATCAAAGCCTCCAAAATTCAAACGACCAGTATGCTGGAATCCAAAGAACTGTCCATTTCCTACGAAATACGTATCCTAAATGTAAATGAAACAATATCTTACATTTATTGTTTATTCAGTGATCACAAATACAACGTCCAAACGAAAATCCATGATACAATTATTTATAATCTAACTCTTAGATTTTTGAGTTTAAAAGTTATAGCCGTTGTGTTTTCTCAATAACTGCGTATCCCGATCGAAAACAAGACGAATCTCGGAATACAAGGGATAAGTCATATTTTGATGTTCAAAGCAGCTACCACTAAATATGTACATGGAAATAACCACAATATTGCTTCTGTTAATCTAGCTAATGATTCCACCATATAACCATATAACAATTATTGGAACGTTGAGACAAAATAAACTGGAAATTCCCACTGAAATTCTGAACCCAAAAAACTGTAATTATCTTGCGTTTCAACCAGACAAAAGGAGGGGTAGACGCATTTCACCATATGTATGGAAACAGAAATTGCTCGAGAAAAACTCGCATATCGCCCTAGTTTTTTGCTTCTCGTGAAAATTGGTAAAAATGGACAAACTGCAATTTGCAAGTCTGCGCCTCAATTACTGGTTCATATGGTTCAAAGTTACCCCAAATGACTATATGTTGAATAGAAAAAAATGTTCGTATTTCAGTTTGTGATACAATTTACGTTCATAAATAAAGCTCCACTGACTTAATTACAAAACGGTTCTTGTTTGAAAAAATGACCCTCATACGTATCTAAGAATCTCTGCATACTGTCAGGTATGCAACCTGAATGTGTAGCTGGTTGTAGTCACATGTTGGCACTAATATGTTAGGGGTTTAGTCTGGGGATTCTCGTAGAAAGAGATAATGTTGTAGCAACAGATAATAAAAATTATGAGTATTTTAATCATTGTCACTTCATAGTGTATTCATACTTTTTTGGAATAAGGCCTTTTGGAGAACGAAACATGAGCGTACTCCAATCCACACTTTGGGGAAATAATCTTATGCAGAACGTATGTCGCAAGACTCATGAAAGGTGTTCATATTACATAGAAAACATATTCTAATACCCGCTAGGTATCGTTTCGACTTCTTTGCCCATTTTGCTCTCACGATGACAGCACATCTGCTGCTTGATGATGTTGGAAAATTTACCCATTATATTAATGTTACCAGCAGATATGATTGCTACTATAATTCACGAGGCGTCGCTCACTAAAGTGTACGAACGTGATACAGTTTTCTCATCCTTAGAGACCTCCTGCTGTTTCACGACCTTCAGGTTTACAAATCAGTTTGTCCAGTACTTTGTTTCCATTTTCTGGAATTGTTATTGGGTCTGTCTTTATTTGCAATATTACCGAGATATGAAGCCAAGGTATCGCATTTGGCCGAGAACGGGGGTTACGATTGCTCGCTCCCCATTCCCACCAAACTATCAGTTCAGGGTACATTCGTGCTCGTTCAAATACAATACACTTAGCCTTTTGCACATTAGAAGTAAGCACCAGCGATCATAGCATCGAAAGTTATTCTCCATTGCCCACTTTGCTCTCACGATGTCAGCACTTCTACTGCTTGCTGATGTTTAAAAATGATTCTATTGATATTCGGAATAATCCTTTGGAGTACATTTCATATATATTCTCAATATAATTGTTAAGGCGCCGTTTCACTAAAGTTCAAGTATAAGGTGTTTTCTCATCCTTCGAGACTATCTTGAATGTCTGTTTCACTAGCCTAGGCATTACTAACCAGGTTCTACAGGAATTTTTATTGGGGCTGGTTTCTTTTTTAGAAACCACTGAATCTTGGAGGGTTTTTTGTTATGATTTATTTCAACATGCAGAATGTTTGAAAACTCCCTTAATTCTTGATGATTTTTGTCCTGGACTTTGTGTTTTATGTAGTATCATGCTGTAACAAACTGTAAGACTTCCTCGCTTATATCGCATATGCTATAAAAATATTGGAGCAATCCTCCTAGGCCAGATACACAAGAAATTCCTTAAAAACACCGGGAAAAACAACACCGTAAGATCTACTGTCACCAAATCAGATCATCCAATTCGCAAACCAAGTCAACGATGTCACATCAAAGCCTCCAAAATTCAAACGACCAGTATGCTGGAATCCAAAGAACTGTCCATTTCCTACGAAATACGTATCCTAAATGTAAATGAAACCAATATCTTACATTTATTGTTTATTCAGTGATCACAAATACAACGTCCAAACGAAAATCCATGATACAATTATTTATAATCTAACTCTTCGATTTTTGAGTTTAAAAGTTATAGCCGTTGTGTTTTCTCAATAACTGCGTATCCCGATCGAAAACAAGACGAATCTCGGAATACAAAGGAGTCTGCCCTTTGATAAGTCATATTTTGATGTTCAAAGCAGCTACCACTAAATATGTACATGGAAATAACCACAATATTGCTTCTGTTAATCTAGCTAATGATTCCACCATATAACCATATAACAATTATTGGAACGTTGAGACAAAATAAACTGGAAATTCCCACTGAAATGCTGAACCCAAAAAACTGTAATTATCTTGCGTTACAACCAGACAAAAGGAGGGGTAGACGCATTTCACCATATGTATGGAAACATAAATTGCTCGAGAAAAACTCGCATATCGCCCTTATGTATGTTTTCAGGAATGTTCAATATGGCAATAAACCATGGTTGGAACAACGCAGTAGAGTACCAACTTTACAACGCTCACTCAAGCTCTTAACTAGTGACATAATTGGATATACCTTACCGAATAACCAACCAGAACCTCCAGCCTTAAGGCGCAACACTTGTTATATCTGCCTCTCAAAAAACGCCGAATGACGTCATTACATTGCAGCCATTGCCAACGCGCATTTTGATCAGAACATCGTGCCCGTTGTGTTACATGCGATGCTGAAAAATGATTAAACACTTTCTTGAAACTGATGAATGAACATATGTAGGTAATACATATTTGTGATAAGGTCTTTCAGAAAGACTTCGTTTTCTAGTTCTTACTAATGGTTAGTATTCACGCTACTCCAATTGTAATGTGACCAGCCGATATGATTCTGACCATTATTCTCGAAGCTTGTTTCACTGAAGTGTGAGAATGAGATAGTTTTCTCGTCATTGGAAACGTCCTGAAAGTCTGTTTCACGAGCACAAGCTTTACTAACCAGTTTATCCAGTACTTTGTTTCCATTTCCAGGAATTGTTATTGGGGCTGTCTGAGGTTGCAATCTTACCGCATTTGATCGAGAACGGGGGTTGCGATTGCTCGCTCCCCATTCCCACCAAACTATGAGTTCAGGGTACATTCGTTCTCGTCCAAATACTATACGCTTAGACTTTTCCACATTAGGAGTAAGCCCCACCGATCATAGGAAATTATGGAAAGTTCTTCTCCATTGGCCATTTTGTTCTCACGATGTCAGCACCTCTACTTCTTGCTGATATTCAAAAATGATTCTATTTATATTCGGCATAATCATGTGGAATTTATTTTATATATATTCTCAGTATAATTCTTGGGGTGTCGTTCCATTAAAGGTTAAGAATAAGGTGTTTTCTCATTCTTCGAGGTTATCTTGAATGTCTGTTTCACGAGCATAAGCTTTAACAAGTTTCTCCAGTATTTTGCTTCTACTTCCAGGAATTTTTATTGGGACTGCTTTCTTTTCTTAGAAACCCGTGAATCTTCGAGAGTTTCTGTTATGATTTATTTCAGCATGCAGAATGCTTGAAAAGTATTTTTTTTCTTCTTTATGATTATGGTAATGGATTTGTGTTCTAGGTAGTAACATACAAGTGGCAGTGTTCTTCTATATAAGCAAAGTATCATCCTCAAATTGGAAGAACCTGTGAGACTTGTACAGTTCCTCTGCTATATCGCATATGCTGTAAAAATACTGTAGCAACTCACCTAGACCAGGTACACAAAAATTTTCTTAACCCTTAATAGCTACCCACGGGTCAAAATGACCCATCGATATGAGGTCCCCCCCACTTCGTATCTTTATATTAAACGTGAACAGCTGGCGGTGGTTCAGTATTCGTTCAGCCGCTGTTGAAGTAAATGTGCATCGTAGTTTTAATCTAGTGACGTAGTTCATTCGACTGTAATGGCAGCCACAGGGTCAAAATGACCCGTGGATAGTATAAACGTTATTATTTTGTTCCGAATTACTTGAATATTTTATGAACTATTGGTAGTATTTTTTATATGAAAAGGTAAGTTTTAACCACCATTTTTAGTTTTTTTTTTATGAAGTATTTTTTTTTTGATGTTTTCAGGTTACAATGGCTAAAGGACTTACTGATAAAGAGCTGGAACAAATTATTGAGTCTGATGAGTTCTGGGAGGATTTCGACGTGAATAATACTGCATCATCGTCATCTTCCACTTACGAATACAATGAAAATACTATTGAAAAGGAGGATAAACGTGATGCATGCGAAAAACTTTTTACGTTTGGGGACCAGAGCGATCAAGAAGAGGAAGACGAAGAGGAACTAAGTACCCACGATACGGACAGTGAGCAGGAATGGCAGCCTTCCGACGAACAAAATGAAGACGAAGAACATTCAGCTAGTACCAGTAATGAAGATGTGAATTTAAACAGAAAGGAAGTTCCAAAAGCTTTGTATGGAAAAGATAGAACAAAATGGTCTACTACTGCTCCAGTAAGAGGAAAGACTCTTGCAAAAAACATCATAAAAGTTTTGCCCGGTTTGAAAGGAAATGCAGCACAACACAAACCTCAATCTGCCTTACAAGCCTGGAAGTTGCTTCTGACAGATGAAATATTTGGACAAATTATAACTCATACTAATACAAAAATCAGATCAGTTCAAAGTCATTATGGAAAGTTCAAGAAGAAGAGCAATAGCAGGTCGGAATTTCGGCCTTCATTTATTGGTGAAACTGACAAAACAGAAATTGAGGCATTTGTTGGTCTTCTATACTTCCTTGGGTTATACAAGTCAGGCCATGAAGATTTAAGGTCCCTTTGGGCTACTGATGGAACGGGACGTGACATATTTAGATGCACGATGTCACTTGCTAGGTTCTCCTTTCTCTTATGCTGCCTTCGATTTGACGACGAACTAACACGAAAAGAAAGAATGAAAAATACCAAACTAGCCGCTTTAGGAAATCTTTTTGAAGAATTTATCCAAAACTGTAAAGGAAACTACTCACCCGGGGAATACTTGACCGTAGATGAGATGTTGGTACCGTTTCGCGGACGCTGCAGTTTTAAGATGTTTATTCCAAGCAAGCCCGCTAAATACGGTCTTAAAGTACAAGTTCTTGCAGACTCAAAAACTCATTATTTGCTAAATGCAGACATTTATGCGGGAAAGTCGCTGGAGAAAAGTAAATGCAAATTATCTCAACCAACACAAGTTGTTCTTCGCTTGGTGGAATCGGTAATTGGAAGTAATAGAAATATCACAGGTGACAATTGGTATTCTTCTGTAGAGTTGGTAGATGAGTTAAGTAAAGTAAATGTAACCTACGTGGGCACTCTGAAAAAAAATAAAAGGTGTATTCCTAAAGAATTTTTGCCGTCTAGATTGCGTCAAGAATTTTCAACAGAGTTCGGCTTTACTTCTGGAAAAACTCTCGTTTCATATGTACCGAAGAAAAACAAGTCAGTGATTTTGATTTCCAGTATGCATAATGATTCATCTGTTGATAATGAAACAAAAAAACCGGAAATCATTTTGTTTTACAACGACACAAAAGCTGGAGTAGATGCCCTCGATCAAAAATGTTCCAATTATTCAACTTCCAGGAAAACTCGCCGTTGGCCCATGGCATTATTCCACATGATGCTAAATGTTGCAGGAATCAATTCTAGAGTATTACTTCAATTTCAAGGAATTTCTTGTTTAATTTAGCTCGTAGTTTATGTCAACGCCATATTATGGTTCGTATGTACAACTCAGAAGTTTGATGGCGAATATACTGGGAATTTCTCTTGATGTTGAAGCACAGTCTCCTGAACGCATTCCTCCTTCCAAAAGAAAGCGGTGTGCTACTTGCCCATCTAAAAAGGACCAAAAAACTAGTACCTTCTGTGACAGCTGTAAAAATCCAGTATGTCGTAATTGTGCCAAAAACATATGCCCAAATTGTTTTTGATTTGCTTTTCAACACTTACATGTTATATTACAATATAAACGTTTGTTTACTTTTGTCAATAAAATTATTTTGATGTTGTTTTTCTTTTAAATTTAATTTTTTTTATCTGGGTCATATTGACCCTTGGGTAGTTCAAAAGTGATTGTTTTGGAAGAGTAGCTATTAAGGGTTAAAAACACTGTAAAACCAAATGTCACCAAATTAGATCATCCAGCTGGTCAATCGGATCAACGAAGTCACATCGAGCCACCAATATTCAGATAACCAGTATACTAGAACCCGAAGCACTATGAATTCTACTTCTTAACTCCATCTCCTAAGAAATATGTATCCTAAATGTAAATGGAAGCAATATCTTACTTTATTGTTTATTCAATAATCACAAACACAACGTCCAAAAGAACAGGGATGATACAGGGTATCATTTCTAATTGAACCGTTATTTTGATGTACAAAGCAGCTATTGGTGGGAATTAACAAATACTTTTGTCCCTCAAAACACATTTGCTCATCGGGCACTGCTATCAGAAAACTAGGCTACCACAAAGAGCGGTCAATTATCAAAGAAAAAAAACATGTCATTAGAGATAAATCATAATTCAAAATAAAACACCCCTTATGACTAAAATGATTCAATGATCTGTAGTGATATTCACCACCATTCAAGTAATTTTCGGCGTCCACAATTCTATCCAATGAACAGTCAACGCCAAGCCACCTGAAAATTTCCAAATATATTTCTCACAGCTCACCTGGTACTCTGGTTGGTAGGCACCGCAATGAAGATTTCTTCTTATGGTGCGCACTTCCCGTTCATCGAGGATATCTGTTGTAAAGACTCTTCATATTAACCCCATAAAAAATCTGGAATCAGATCTATTGAGAGGAGCGGGTGCAAGACTCCTGCCATTTCAATCTACTCATCAACTGACACGTCCTGTGCATAAACTACCTGCAAAAGTTTACGTTCATAGATCAAATAGCCCATCTTAAGGATATAACTTCTGAAACCCTTTTTTAACAAGTCATTTTAAAAATAAAATTGAAGACAAAACATACCCCTACTTTTAGGCTCGATTAATTTGAAATATTTCAAGTTCTCTTATAAAAACGTGAAATGTGCGAATTCCCACTTGGTCATCGGTGTATCTAGGTTTAAAAATAATACGTTTCGTCACAGTAGCCTGGGGGTAGGCATTTACAAAAAAACAATAAGCCAGCATGAGGTACCAGATACGTCACCCTCGTCCATAGTCCCAAGGACGCCAAAAGCCTCCCCCCTTGTTTATGGATTAAAGGGAACTTAGTTGTATGTCCTGTGAAAAAAATCATATAGGATATATTTGACCTGCGTGTTTGAGATCCTGTTGGATTAAAAAAACATGATTCATTCGTTTGGTATCAGAATATCAATTACATCTTTCCTTCAAGGATATCCCACCTAAATTGGGTCACAGTCCACAGAAGAACTAGAAAAACAATTATTGTTTAATCTTATATACGCCGATTCCTTTACATTCCTTTTGTAACTGTTATCATCTTTGTGTAGTATTGAGACTTCCTCCCATTTTACCCTATGTCTTCTTTCCCATAGATGTTGAGGTTTCTCCCTTTGTTAATTAATTCTACTTTTAACAGGTCTTAATGTTTCACCGATGTGAGAAAGATCTTTAAAAGGAAGCTAAAAGAGTTCTTGACAGCTGTGCACCATGTTTGGTTACATAGAGCGTCCGATATGCAACATTTTTTTATCGTGTAAAAAAATAATTGTTATTTGTGTTTTTAGTTAGTATAGATATGTGTGACAAGACAAGATTTCTTCTATTTATTTATTTTCACAGTATGGTATCAACAAACGTAACTGGAAAAATTAAATAAATGAATAAAAAGTATTTCTAAACCTATCGGAGAATTGAATGGAAGGTTTTTAAAAAAAGATAAATGAAATAAGTGTCGCATAAAATAAGTATTGTAGTATTGTATTCGAGAACTAAATAAATGGTCGCAAATTTCAAGGTGGGGGATGGGGGTCGCGAGATACCTCATTTTGAATCTATCAATACCTTATAATCCTACAATGTGAACTGTCTTTCAAAATGGCATACTGACAGGCTGTCAAATTACTTATAACTCAACAACAAATCATCAAACCGGCATAATTCTAATTCTAATTTTTATCAACACTTTGCCTAAATGTATTAAAAACTCATTTTGTTTAATCTTTGCAGACGATTTTAAAACATTCAAGCAGGTATCCTCATTGGCTGACTGTATCAAACTACAAGAAGACCTCAACTCGATATGTAACTGGTTTGTTGATAACAAAATGTTTCTTAATCTTGAGAAGTGCTGCACTATAACATATGCTAGAAAAGCAAGCCCTCTTATCTTCAACTATTCCTTGTCCAACCACACCTTAAAGAGGTGCAAGGAGATTAAGGACCTGGGGGTTTACATGCAGTCTGATTTGAAGTTTACTACACATTATGATTTTGTTAGCAAAGCACTTAAAAAACTAGGATTTATCATACGGAACTCTACCAGTCTGAACATTGCCACTCTAATTAAATTGTACAATGCCTTAGTAAGGCCTCACCTGGAGTATGCCTCAGTGATTTGGTCTCCACTGGCTGGTTGTCATAGTGAGCGTATTGAGCGCATACAAAAGAGATTTCTTAGATCCATTATGTTAGAGACAAGAAAATCTATCCATATATGGTTTCTTATCGGAGTAAGCTTGACTCATATCATTTCCATAAGCTTACCTGTCGCAGGATACAGCAGTCTATTGTTTTTATATACTACTTAATAAATAATATTAAATTTCATAAATGTAATCTGATTTTTGTAGCTATTGTTGTTCCCAAGGTGATTCTTAGGTACAAGAGAGATAAATTTTTTAATATTAAGTACCCTCTGAACAATCCCATGAGTCATGTGTTAATGCTTTGCAATGAGCTTTTAAAAAAACTGATATTGACTTTTTTAATACAGACGTGAATTCACTTAAAAACTTATTGTCATTAACAGATCTCACTAGGTCTTAGTCTAAGCAGCTATATTGGTGGTTGTTTTATTGTTCTATTATTTTATATTGTTTTACCTGTGATGAATTTTATTGAAACTGATTTGTATCTTAGTATTATAAATGTGATAACTTTTTTTTAATTTTAGTTTTTCAGTTCTAGTTTTGGCTCATTTAAAAGTTATATTTCATTGTTGCTTCGCGTTGTTTTACTCTAGTTTTAAGTTGTCTTGCATTCTAATTACTCTAGGGTATTTTGTGAGACTTTAAGCAAATAAATAAATAAATAAATAATATGTTATATGAATCTATTCGAATATGTAACAGAATATGGAACATTCCATCTCAAGATATTGTCCAAATCTGTCAATTTTGTTGAGGGGCCGTTCAAGTCTTATCTAAGCACATTTTTTATAATTATTAAAACCATTACCCCCTCCTCCCCATTGTCAGCAACTCTCTAACTCCCTCCCATCCTTATGTATATCACCCTTAACAAAAATAAATTAACAACAAAAATATACAAACAAACTGTCTAAATTATAGTACAATTCTAGACAGTACTACTATATAAATATTTCATAAATTCACCTATGATATCAAAATTGTTTTATGATAATCACACATTTCCATAGAACTCTATACATGTGCTAATCCATTTCCAGCAAACCTCAAATTTGATCTTTCTAAATTTCTGAAGCTAATCAACTGACGGGTTTAATGAACTTCTGTTTTCATAAAGTTATAAGTCACACTTTTTGAGGATGGAAAGCACTTTATGAAAACAAGTTATTTGTAAAACATAAAGTTATCCTTCAGCTGATTAGCTTTTAGAGTCGGAGATTACATAATTTAGTTTAATATATCGAAGGAGACCTGCCGACATACAAATTTATCATTACCCTGCGAGCTCCACTTTGAAATAATATTTGGTTAGGTAATAATAATAAAAACATGGTACATTACATGAGGCGAGATTTAGCACCTGCAATTCCACCATCAAACCCTGCTGCTCTGTATAAACTAGCCAAGCCAGTGGTGTCTAGAGAGGGATCTGAATGGATATTTGTTACAAAAAATATACGCCACTGACTTTTGCGCAATTTTTATTATATTATTTGTATTAAGCACATATAAATACAACTTTTTGTCTTTTTTTCGTATCTTGCTTAGTTTTCGAGAAAAAAAATCCACTTATATAATTGCATATCCCTGATCACACAAGGAGTGTGGGGAAAAGTTTCTTTTGGAAATCTTTATTTTTTTATATTTTTTGTATTATTAATATATAACAAACAACACCAACCAAACACAAAATTAAGTTACATTAACATCTAAACTCATTAGTTTTACTAAGCTATGGAATAGTAAATAATAATCAAGGGTTGCCTTGGCAAACGATTGCAGCATTTAGTAAACAACTTGACAGTCGTCAACGCAGTATTTATAAGCTATTCATTTATAATTTTTATGAAGTGTTTTTAGTGGTTACTTTTTATCCAATATGCTACAATTTCCTAACAGTGAAAGGGCAGATATGCATTTCTATTATGGAATGGCTCATGGAAGTTCTAATGCAGCAAGACGCATTTATCATAAAAGATTTCCTCGACGAGTAGTGCCAAATAGAAGAACTTTTTTTACGTCTCCATGCACGACTTTCTGAAACGGGCAGCTGTAAAAGATCGACGGTTGTCATCGAGAGGCCTGCAACGTCACGAACAGTTCAAA